AGGCTAGGGTTGGACTGCGGGATTTTCGGGGGAGGTGCACGTATTTATAGGTAGAGGGAGCTAGGAGTGTCCAAATAAGGAGCGGTTTTCGCCCACACAATCGTGATCGAACGACAGAGAGCATGGAGGGGAGTTAGATGGGTTTTCGGCCACTTTGGAAGGGTGTTGGGCTGCACACAAAAGAGGCCTTTACGGTTACCCGAGTAACCGTTGGAGTACCAAACGACCTCCAAATGGCACGAAACTTGACAGGCGGTCTACCGGTGCTATACCAAGACCGCTTGGAAAACCTCGGGCCATTCCGAGAAAGTTTAACACCCGCACACAACGAGAGACAAAAGGGGGACGCCGGAGGACATAGGAGTGCTGGATTGCAAAACGGACAACGGGAAAAATGCTCGGATGCATGAGACGAACACGTATGCAAAATGAAATGCACATGATGACATGACAAAATGCAACACGCAAGCAAATAACAAGGCAATGACGACGAATAGCTGGCGGACACCTGGCGCATCGAATCCGGGGCGTTACATAAATTGTGCAAAATGTCCTAACCATACAGATATACAACGACTGTGCCAAAATTGCATTGTATTTGCAATAATGTCATGTATTGTACGTCGATGCCGCATAGTTCTCGCGCCATTGTTGAGGACCATCATCGCCACTACAAACCACCATTCGTGATCGCAGTGTTGCCGCCCTCCCTTCCTCCATCAGTCGCGCTATGATCGGCACACTATAGGGTCGTCGATCAACGCCGGCCGCACCATGATAACCCTTGGGTGGCACTTACGGGAGAAAGAAAGAAGAGGATGGGGGGCATGGAATGAGAACCAGAGTTTTCACACCATTTGGACCCGTTTTGCGCTAGTAAACAACTGAAGGTAACATTTTTTTTAGAACGAAGGCTCGCGAAGAGTCCGGCTTTGAATTAACAAAGCCATCAACCGGCCAGGAATTACAGCAGACAACCCAACTTACAGCGGTCAGAATGATACAACGGGGAAACTGGAAAGACTACTCACTACAACCTCCACAAGCCACAAAAGATTACAGCTAGTAAAGGCCGAGCACTCCACACTAGGATCATATGTAGCAGGAACGGAGCAGCGCATCAGGACATAGCCGACCTTCGAGGATGGACCGTGCACCAGGAACACTTAGAGAAGAAAGGAACCAACATCTTCCTTCTCAATCACCGAAGAGGGACCCTTCCCTCTCGCCATGGCTCGTTGGCGCCGCACCGTCGGGATTTCGAGAAGCTCACCCTAGAGCTGGAAGAGTGTCACCCTCGCATCGCAAGGTGGACATGGGATGACCACATCGATTTGGGATATACCTCGCCGGCTGCTCCGCCACAGTCCAAGCCCAACTAGTTGGAGACAAGCTTCAGGAATCGGACGACGCAGAGGAGGTAGCGCAATCCCTCACCTGCATAACCTCCCAACTGATCCCCACACCCTTGACGGCGCCTCCAGCAAGGTCACGATGCGCAAGGCGCCGCCGCCGCCAAATCCGCCGGGGATAAAGCGGCGGCTCCCTGAAGATGGAATAAAGGTCTCCCTGCCTAGTCCCCGTTTCGGCGGCGCGTCTAGCACCGTTGGTGGGCGTGTGGAGGTGTGTCTCCGACGGATCTATCTTTGATGGATTTGCTCGGATCTCGTCGTTGTTCGTCTACGTTCGCGTGTCTTCGGATTGGATCTTTCTGATCTACGTTATTCTTCATCTGCGGCGGTTGCTGTTCTGGTGCGCTGGTCCTACGGGGCCTTAGCACGACGACTTCCCGACTGTCTACTACAACAAGTTGGGCCCGACTCCGACGATGGAGGGGCGATGACGGCGGCGCGCCTTCGGCTCGCTTCAGTTCTGGTAATCGTCGCTAGGTGGTCTATGGCTCTGGATGTAATTTTTATTATTTCTGGTATTGATTGTACTGCCATGATTGAAGATGAATAGATCGGAAATTTTCTCGCAAAAAGAAAAAATTCCGATGCTTGGGCAAATACAACACCACAAGCAAGACAGACAGACTGTTTTCGAAGACATTGAAGTTGGGTTCGGTTTGGTGTGGCGAAGTATTTTTATTCCATCTCACGTGCATATGGCTGCTCGGATCCGCCTAAGATGACTTGGACAGAGAAATCGCGCGGTATCAAACACCACAAGCAAGGCAAAGTGTTTCGAAGACATTTTAGACATTTTGGTGCCTCTACACGTGTACATGCTGCCTGCCCGGATGCTCGTAGGCAGGTGTCGACTTGGAAAAAACTGACAAAAAAGAGTAGTCACCACTCACCAAGGCTCCGTCTCAAACAAAAGAAAAAAGCACCAGGCAGCAGGTGTCGACTTGGGAAAAACTGACAAAAAATCATATACATGGACTTGGGCAAAATACTATCACCTCCCTTCCGAATTATTGGATATTTCAATCCTTTTGCCCATGCGAACAAACAAATACGGAGTGCAACGATTGTTACCCATGTGATGCATTCCCTTCTTTCTTCATTTGTACAACAAGCTGACGTGATTGCCTCTTGCAAATTGGAGGAGCCACGTCTTACAGGATCGGACAATGATTAGCGCCCCACACTAAGCAAATCAGCATCCATCCAAAATATCTCAGAGCAACTCTAGTAGACACCGTATCCCGTCCGGGCCGTAAAATAACCGTCAAATTGCGGGTTGGGGCCGAAAAATCCGCACGATTTTTGCGGGGTGCGGCAAATCTTCTCCCTCAACCTCTATCTTCACGGGCTGGGAGGCCGACCCGAGCTGAACCCCTATCCGGCACGAGATTTGGCGGGAGGGACATTTCCGCGCGCCCTTTCCCGCTCCCCGCACCCTCCGCCACCATTGCCCCTCCTCCGCAAGCTCCGGTTCCTCCTCCCCGGCCGTTCCTCGCCGCCACGGACGACCCCGTGCTGTCTCCCGTCACCGTCGAGGTCGCGCATGCTCCTTCCCCTCGGGCGGATCTCGTCGCCGGCCATGTTGCCCCCGCCGTCATCGCCCAAGCACACGCCGCGTCGTCCCGCAAGCGGCAGGGCAACGTGGTCGTGCAAGGCGAGAATCCGACTGCCCCCGCCGCGACGGCCCGCGCTCCGGGCGCCAACGCCGCAGTGCGATCCCGGCCGGCGGCGGAGAATGCCGGCAAGACCGCGGG